ATGCCAGTTTAATAGAACAAAGTGTGCTTGCATTAAGGGGGTACTTGAGTGGAGACCCAATGTCCATCTGCTACTTTAATACTAAACCTATAAATATATGCACATACATCTTTTTCACATCCTTATATATAAATATATTTACATATGTACATGCCAGTATTTAGACCTCTATAAATGCCCTTTGCCTCCTAGTTCTCTCCTCTATTTCCTTTTACTTTCTTCTTGTCCCACTATCATGCTCAGCCTTCTTTTGGGTTTCAATAATTCCTCTCAGTTATATTGCCCTTGATCAATCCCTACCAGGCCTCTTACATCCTACTCACCACCGATTTTGGATAACTTGTTGTTCCCTTATCCCTGGGTTTGTTTACACCACTTCCTTTCCCCCACTTCCCCCTCTCCCATGTCCCCCCCGGAACCGTCGGTCCTCTTGTTTTCTCCTCCAGATTGTTTCCCCCCCTTATCTTATCTAGATAGATCTCCAGAGATAATAATATGCATAAAAACAAGACAGTAAAGCAAAGCAACACAAGAAAAGAAGAGAAAGCAACAACAAAAACAATGACACACACACAAAAAGCCTGTAAATAGTTCAATGACTGTTTGTTGGCCTTTAGGAGTGTTTTCCAGTTGAGTGTGATGAGGTGCACACCCTGGCTCCTAAGTCTATTTTTGGTATTCCTTCAGGACTTCTTTGCTCTGAAGTTCTTGCTGTGCTGTTGCACGCCCTTAGTGTTTTGCCTCAGTGTGGTAGGGTCAGATTGGGCACAATTCCCACACTGTGTCTCCAGTATTGTCCCCTGTAGTTTTGCTCATATAAATCTTTTGTTCTTTTAGTCAGATATATCCCTAGATATTTCAATTTTTGCTTGGCTATTGTGAAGGGTACCACCTTCTTGATCTCCTCTTCTGTAGTCTTATCTGATGTGTATAGCAGTCTGATAGACTTCTGTTTGTTGATCTTGTATCCTGTCAATCTGCCAAACTCATCTATTGCTTCCAGTACGCCCCTTGTGGAGCTTTCAGAATTTTCCATATATGTAAGATCATATCATCTGCGAATAATGATAGTTTCGTCTCTTCCTTCCCCTTTGATGTCTTTTCTTTGCCTTATGCTGTTATCTAAAACCTCCAGTACAATGTTAAATAAGAGTGGTGATAAAGGGCATCCTTGTCTGGTCCCCTTTTTCACTAGGATTGTGTTTGTCTTTTCTCCAGTGACTACCATGTTGGCTGTTAGTTTTTCATATGTAGTTTGTATTATCTTGTGGAATTTTCCTTCCATTCCTATCTTGTTGAGTGTCATAACAGGAATTGGTGTTGGATGTTGTCGAATGCTTTCCGCATCTATCAATATTATCATATGGTTCTTATAGTTTTTCATGTCAATGTGGTGAATGATACTAATGGTCTTTCGTGTGTTGAACCATCCCTGCATCCCTGGTATGAATTCCACTTGGTCATGGTGAATTATTTATTTTATATACTTTTGTATTCTGTTGGCCAGTATTTTGTTAAGGATTTTTATATCGATGTTCATTAGGGATATTGGTCTGTAGTTCTTGATTCTTATGGGATCCTCCCCTGCTTTCGGTATCAGAATTATACTAGCTTCATAGAAGGAGTTTGGGAATTTGCTGTCTTTTTCTATGTTCTGGAAGAGTTAGTGTAGGACTGGTGTCAGTTCTTTCCAGAATGCTTGTTAGAATTCTCCAGTGAAGCCATCTGGTCCAGAGAATTTTTTGTTGGTAATCCCTTGATAAACTTGTCTATTTCTTCTACTGCTATGGGTCTGTTGAGATTCTTGACATTCATCATGGATTGTCTAGGGAGGGATTGTTTTTCCAAGAATTTGTCCATGTCTTCCAAGTTGTTGAATGAATTAGAGTACAGTCCTTCGTAGTACTCATTTTTGCTATTGAAATGTGTTCCCTTCTTTCTTTGCTTAGGTTTGCCAGTGGTCTGTCGATTCTGTTTTTCCTTTCGAAGAACCAACTTTTAGCAGCATTAAATTTTCCATCGTTTTCTTATTTTCCCTCTCCTGAATCTGAGCCCTGATTTTTGTTATTTCCTTCCTTTTTGCTATTATGAGGATTGTCCTGTTGACTCTGCTCTAGTTGCTGTAAATTTTGTGCAGCATATCAATCATAAGTCTCTCTTCCTTTTTTGTGTGTGCATGTATTGCTATGAAACGTCCTCTGATAACTGCCTTTTCTGTGTCCCATAAGTTTTGATATGTCATGTTCTCATTCTCGTTTGCTTCTAGAAATTTACTTATTTCATCTCTGATCTGGACCAGTACACACTCCTTTTGCAATAGAGAGTTATTCATTCTCCCATTGTTCTTGTTTCATCTTCCTTTTGTTGATTTCCATCCTTATGGCCCAATGGTCAGAGAGAGCAGTCTGTATGATATCAATGTGCTTATGGATGCATACTCGCCTTATGCTCCAGCATGTGATCTATATTCAAATATATGCCATGTGGGCTTGAAAAGAATGTTTACTCTTTGTTTTGGATGAAGAGCTCTGTAAATATCAGGTCATTTTGTCTAATTGTGTTTAGATCTCTAGCATCCTTGTTTAGTTTCATTCCCTGTGATCTGTCTTTCTCAGAGAGCGGTGTATTAAAGTCGCCTACTATAATTGTTGAGGTTGTGATTTCTTTGTTCATCTTTTGGAGTGTTTAGTTGTAGTATTAATCAGGTTCCTCATTCAGGGAATAAATGTTTAAAATGCTTAGTGGTTTTTTGTCTACCAAGTGGTTCTTTGTTCCCTTGAGCATTACATAGTGTCCCTCCTTATCTCTTTTTATGGTTTGCACTTCACTTTTAGGACAATTTTATCCAAGATTAGGATTGCAGCCTGTGCTTTTTTTGAATTGCGGTTTTCTTGATATGCTTTTCTCCAGCCTTTGATTCTCAGACTATTTTTGTCTGTAGCATTGAGATGTGTCTCCTGTAGGCAGCAGATGGATGGGTTGCATTTTCTAAGCCAGTCTGTTTGCCTCAGTCTTTTAATGCCTGACTTCAGTCCATTAATATTCAGGGTTATTATCTCCATCTTGAACTCTGTGATGTCATCTTATACCTTTTGTGTTTGGTTTTTTCCTACCTCCCTTTCTTATCAGTATGCTGTGTGTGTGTGTGTGTGTGTGTGTGTGTGTGTGTGTGTATGGAAGCTGGGGGAGTTTTCCTCCAAAAATTCTCTCACTATTATTGCAGATGACTTCTTTATTGTGCCTTCCTCTGTTAATCCAATAATTCTAATGTTCTTCTTCATAGCATCAGACATAGCTCTTAGGTTTTCTTCAGCTTCTCTGATGATCTTATTAGATTTTTGTTCGCATTTGTTAGTCTGCTTGGCTGTCCTCTAGGTCACTGGTGCGGTTCTCTGCCTCCTCTAGTTGATTGGTGAAGTCCTTGAGTCTGCTACTGGTTTTGTTATCTCGTTCCTCAGCTCTTGTGTTTCCCTTTGGTGTATGGTCTTTATATCCTCTATTATTTCATCCTTTTTCTGTATTGTTTCCCTCATATCGTGTATGACTCCTGAAAATATCTTTCTGTGGCAGATCAATATCTGCTTCTTCTCAGAACATACTTACGTTCAGGACATCTTCTGCCATTGCCTTTTGTTTCTCCTGTTTTTTCACTGAGGTCACTGGGGCTGGTTGCTGTTTGCATTGTGTTGTTTTAGAGGAACCAGGTGCCATTTTCCAGGTAGTCAAAGAGCCCTGGCTCTCTCTAGGAGACTAATAGGAATGCTTCTTCAAATTTCCTGCAACTTATTTCACTATGGAATTGGCCTGCCACTTTATCCTCCTGTGGCTTCACACTTTCCCTAGTCAACCAGTATTCTGTTATTTGGAGGGCAAGTTGGATGGTCCTCTTAGGGGATGCTGGTTTGGTTGTTGTGGACCCACAAGGATGGTGCTGCACTGGGTGAACTCACAAGAAGCCATGATGGTGTGGTGCACAGCAGCTTGGGGAACTTCATAGGGCATGCAGGGATGTCTGCTGCAATGGGAATGCCACAGAAGGCTGGTGGGTTGCTCTCATTGTTGTAGAGTACAGCAAATGGTGAGCGGAATTTCCCTGGTCAGATAGATTGCTTCAGAGGTTAGGCAGAGGTTCCGCCAGCAGCGTGGAATGTTGACAAGTATTGGCCGAGCTGCCCTGGGCAGTGTGAGGTACTACGGCAGGTGGAAGGAAGTTCCCTCAGTCACATAGTACCACAGAGGATGGGTACGCGCTCCCCCAGCCACGCAGGCAGGATTTCCCCTGAAGAAGGTGAGCAGGATTTCCCCCAGAAGAAGTTGGGCTGGATATCCCCTGGTGGAGGGTGGGCATACTTTCCACAGCCTTGGGTTACACTGCAGGTGATGGAGCTCTCCCAGCTGCGTGGAGGGCAGGAGTAAATGCCCTCGGCTAAGATTAGTGGCCAGGAGGTCAGCAGTGGTATGTGAAACAAAAGGGAAGAGAATAAAAATTTTTAAAAAACCAAGCCCTCTGAGACTGTGGGAGGACAGAGAGAAGAGAGGGTAAACAAAAGTAACAATATAGCTAAGCCCCGATCCCTGCCCATGGGGCTGGAGGGGTTTTATCCCTGCCCTGAGGTGGCAACAAGTGTGGGTGTAAGCTGTGGCTGTATTGAGATAAAGCCCCTGCGTCAGCTCCAAATGATCCCGGCTCCGGCTGAGACTGTGGTGAGGCTAAGGATAGGCCCTAGCCAGCCTCCACTGTGGTGAGCCAAAGGCCCCTAGCTTCTCAAAACCTAGTGGATCTGTGCCTACTTATCCTGTGACCCAGCAGTGTGGAATTTCCCTCTTAGTAACTCTCCTGCATTGATCTCTGCAGAGTCCTCTGGTATGTGTTACTTAGTCACCGTCTTCCCAGAAGTCCTGGGAACATCTTTTATTCCCAAGAAAAACGTTCAAATGTTGTGCCTTGTACAGGAAATAATGACTTGTTTTGTGTTTTTGTCTTTTCTTCTGTGATTCAGGAGCTGTGAAGGAAGAAATATCCGCTACAGAACATGCAGCAATGTGGTAAGTCCCAGGTTCTGGGCACATGCTGACCTATGTTTGTTGCTCAGTGCTAAGCAATTCCATGTACACTGAGCTAGAAATCAAATAGTTGTTTATTTCGCATTGTGCTGATTGTGCTCTACTGAAAAGTGGTATTTTTGTTGCCATTGCTCCTAATCTCAAATCTGAATCACCTAACCATATTGAAACTAGCCTATTTTAAAAGATGGGACCCTTGGCATTTCCTTTGTTTTTCTAATTGTTTGCATATAGGTCTCCTGAGAAAAGTTCAGGGGATGAGAAAAGGGAACCCACTTATGACAGCAGTTCTCAACCTGTGGATCCCGACCCCTTTGAGGGTCGAACGACCCTTTCACAGTGGTCGCCTGACTCATAACAGTAGCAAATTTATAGTTATGAAGTAGCAACGAAAATAATTTTATGGTTGGGGGTCACCATAACATGAGGCACTGTATTAAAGGGTTGCGTCATTAGGAAGGTTGAGAACCATTGACTTATAATACCAAGAAATCCATATTAGGCAATTAAACTCATATTTGACAGCTTGATCGATTTATTTAATAAGTATTGTTCAATAGCAACTAAGTGTGAGGTGCTATAATATTATAGGAAAAAATCAGATGTAGTCACTGTCTTAAACCATCTACAGTATGTTAGGGAATGTGGAGAGAGAAGACAGATGTGCACATCACTAGACTCTAGGGCAGAATATGCCAGATGCTATGAGATTAAAGGGATTAAGTTGAGTTCTGGATTTAACGTAAAGGGAAAATGCAAGAGACTTAAAGGAAAAAAGATTGGTGATAGGCTCTAAGAATTAACATGGTCACATTAGATGTGAGGTGGGGAAGTCAGTGTACAGTGTACAGAGATAACAAAATAGAAAACTATGGGGGCAGGCATATTTAAAGTGTTTTCTAAACACTAGTCTGTGTAGGATTCTGCATAGCAGTATGGGAGCTAAGTGTTAACAGATATTTGGGGTTTATTATGAAGATATTACATGTCAGCCTTCCAAGTTTATATCAGTCCAATGACTAATGATGCATCTCTAGGTTTGGAATCTGGGGTTCGATATTGTAGACTTTCACTTGGGAAAGGTTAATTATGTAGTGACATGAGGGCCACACTGGAGTTAGGAACCAATGAGGAGCTTCTGAAATACTTTAGGCAAAAGTAATGAGGACTTAAACTCTGGAGGAAATAAATACAAGAGGCCAAAGTTAAGGTTCGCTCTGTGAGACTTTACAAGCAATTAACAGAGTGATGCATAGAAGTGTTCATGAAAAGTGGGGAATTTGCATCCCCCCCAAAATGGTATTTGAGTAGATCCATGGTACATGAGCAGAAGGCAGAGTGGAGAGTGTTTGAGAGCTAGCACAACACCAGGAAGATGATAGGTTAAGGGATAGTTTGCAGGAAGACTGCAGGTGTAGTGGTCTTTTGCAGGCTGACCTGAGATTGGCTGCTTCTCAAATTGTTCTTTGATCTTGTAAGGGATGTCCTCCTTCCAATGCAGGTATTGTTCAGCAAGTCTTGCACTACAGATGGAAATGGGTTAATCTTAACTTATAAAAGAACGCAGCAAAGATTTGTTAGTTCATCAAGAATTCTAACAAAATTTCAAGATTAGCAGAACAGGGTATGATAAGCTGACAGAAGAATGGAGATGCTCACATTAGTTACTTTCTTCACAGCAATTACCTCTCTCAAAATGTATTCTTCTTGGGTCACAAGGAAGGGATGAGTCAACCAGGGTGCAGTTGTATAGCACCAATGAAACACAAAGTATCTATGGATTTTTGAGGCTTCCTCACCCCTGACTATCACAACCCCAGTCCTAGCTTTCAGTTCTGGCTAGACCAGAGCATGTACACTGGGTCTTAAAGTCTTGAAGTTAAACAAGCGGCCATCTAGCTCAGAAGCAACAAAGCCCACATGGAAGAAGCACACCAGCCTGTGTGTTCACAAGGTGTCGAAGGGATCAGGTATCATGCATCATCAGAACTAAAAATCATATCATAATGAATGAGGGAGGGAGTGCAGAGTGGAGACCCAAAGCCCATTTTTAGGCCACTGGACATCTCCTTACTGAAGGGTCTCGGGGAGGGGACGAGCCAGTCAGGGTGCGATGTAGCAACGATGAAACATAGAACTTTCCTCTAGTTCCTAAATGCTTCCTCCCCCACCCCCCACCCCCCTCACTGTCATGATCCGAATTCTACCTTGCAAGTCTGGCTAGACCAGAGGATGTACACTGGTACAGATAGGAACTGGAAACACAGGGAATCCAGGACAGATGATCCCTTCAGGACCAGTGGTGTGAGTGGTGATACTGGGAGGGTAGAGGGAGGGTGGGTTGGAAAGGGGGAACCGATTACAAGGTTCTACATGTGCCCTCCTCCCTGGGGGGATGGACAACAGAAAAATGGGTGAAAGGAGATGTTGCACAGGGCAAGATATGACAAAATAATAATTTATAAATTATCAAGGGTTCATGAGGGAGAGGGGACTGGGGAGGGAGGGAAAAAATGAGGAGCTGATGCCAGAGGCTTAGGTAGAGAGCAAATGTTTTGAGAATGATGAGGGCAATGAATGTACAAATGCGCCTTACATAATTGTTGTATGTATGGATTGTGATAAGAGTTGTATGAGCCCCGAATAAAATGATTAAAATAAAAAAAAGAGCTCTCACAACACACGGAATTCAAGTCAGATATGGGAGTAGCAATACCAAGAGCGGAGGAGGAAGGTGGGGAGAGGATTGGAGGAAGGGGGAACCTATTGCAATGATCAACACATAACCACCACCACCCTGCACCATGGGAATGAACAACAGAAATGTGGGTGAAGGGAGATAGGGGACGGTGTTAAGATATGAAAATAAGAATAATTTATAATTTATCAAGGGGTCACAAGGGTGGGAGGGCGGGAAGGGGGAGTCACAAGGGTGGGAGGGGGTAAAGGGAGGGACAAAAGAGGAGCTAATACCAAGGGCTCAAATAGAAAGTAAATGTTTAAAAAATGATGATGGCAACATATGTCCAAATATGCTTGATACAATAGATGTATGGATTGTCATAAGAGCTGTAAGAGCCCCCAATCAAATGCTTGAGTGCTTGAGTGTTAACTGTGTTCCCACAGACTCCCTGAGTGAGGGAGCCTTCTTCATTTTGTTTAATGCTTTCTCCCTGTGCCAAAAACTGTGACTATGAAGCACATACTATAAAACAAAAACCAAACTCACTGCCATTAAGTCAATGCTGACTCATAATGACCCTATAGGACAGGATAGAACTGCCCCTGTATCTTCTTTATGCCCCACCTTTCTCCTGAGATGCAGCTGGTGGTTTCATATTGCTGACCCTGCGGATCACAGCCCAGTGTATAACCACAAAACCATCAGGGCTCATATCATCTATTCGGTTTATTTAGGAGGAGAATGCTCAGACTTTTGGATGTCATTATCAGAAATAAAGAAGCTGATATTGGGGACACGATTGGGTTTGGTGTGTAGCCAGGTATGTCAGTGATATAGTCAATGGGGCAGAGCTTTTTGAAGAAAAGAAACCCGTCGAGACTACTTAGAAGAAGCCGGTTCATGGCGTTCTGTAGAGAAGTTTTCTACACCACCTGCCGGAAGTGATGGAGCTGAGCTAGGCTTGGAGAAGCGAGCCTGAAGAAGTCTGCAAGAGCCACAGGGGAAATTGGGTGGGAGAGGGAAAGCGAAGCAAAAGAATTTTGGAAGAGCAAAATGCATTCCATTGCACTGTGTTCTCGTTAGGACGTGATCAAGAGAGTTTTCAAATGCAGTCTAACAACTCGGAGAGGCAACCAAGCAGAAACAGAACGTGAACCCTAGACGTTCGCCAAGGGCTACGTGGTAATGGCATATGAGTCTGCAACAAAATAAAATGTGTATTTATGTCTTTAATTATTTTTAATAGCTGACCAGGGAGAACACAAAGAACTAAAAGGTGTAGTTACTGGGGGGAAAGTAACTGTTTGATGGAAAACTGCCTGCACCATCATTCTGTTCCCTTCTAGAATGCTACCTGCACCCGGTGCCAGCACATTGATTCTGACTCAGAGCAACCCTATAGGACAGTACAGCTGCCCCCATAAGGTTTCTGAGGTTGTAAATATCTTTGGATGCTAGGCCAACTCTTACATCTTTATCCCATGGAGAGGCTGGTGGGTTTGAACTGCCAGCCTTTCATTTATCAAAGCGAGTAACTATGTGCCAAATAGCATGCCTTCACCAACACACACACACACACACACACACACACACACACACACACACACACTTTAAATGGATTAAAAGGATCAAAGAGTTGTGGCTTTTGTGTATTTTTAAATGGTATTGATAGTCTGCTTTAGCAATAAAATGGAAAGGTTGTTTCTGGAAATAAAATCTAGTTCATTCATTCTAATGAAAGTGTATATATAGGCTTAAAAGCATGCTGTGAGGTTAATAAAGAATTCCTTTAGCTCTATGCCTTTCCAGCCTTTCGGTGGAGAAGAGAGTTCAAATTTCCCAAAGTTGGTGACTATCTAAAGCACCAGGGGCAAGTGTCTGTCTCGCCTTTTCTTCAAGCTCTTTAGAAACAGCCCCGACTTTCTCTCATTGTGAGCACTCCCACGGACAGATGCAGGCTAAGACTCTGACCTCATATTACTTAAACGCCACAACATTGCAGGAGGCAAATCTTTACAGCTTGTAGAATCCAACTGGCACGGAAGAGTTTATGAGGACTGAGAGTCTTCAAATATTTTGAATCTTTTTGATTCTCCCATGGCTTTTGACCATGACAAAAGCAACACTGCCAAAATAAAGTTTTAAAATCTCATGTTAAAAAGGGATCTTTGCATACTTGCATTGCAGTTTTTCAAACTAAGACCTTGAGGACCAGTTAGTTAAAGAGCCCCTTGTTAGGTGTGCGTGCGTGGGTGTGTGCGTGCGTGTGTCTAAGGGTAAGGTCATTTGTTAGCTAAGT